AACTGGACAGGAGATCAAAAGTCGTTTTTAAGGAGAAAATTAAAAATGTGAATTAAGGCTTGCAGTAGGTTTTTTAAAATATACTTATCACTCTCAGGCCCTGTACAGTCAAGAATGGAAGAATTACGAGGCAAAGGAGCAAGTAATCAAGAGGTAATTGAGTCCATCATAACAGTAGAGAAATGCAACAGAGAGAGCAGACCTGAAGTTTTTCCTTGTTTTCCTTTCATTCTAGTTATGGCTCACTGTAGACCATGATCTGAGTTTTGAATCTGTGACAGTTTGTGACAATTGTGAAGTGACAATAGGTTTTTTTCTTACATTGGTTTTGTTATTTTAAAAAGACAAGTAATTAATCTCACTAAAAACTGCGCTTTCTTATCAAAGGTGATTGTCTCGAAGTTGATCTGAACAAAACCATCCAAAACTTTGTGGGAGACCATAGTTTCCTTTTAATTTTAAATGTTTTCATGTTGTAAAGCATTTGTTACAGCTCACCCACTTTGGGTTGTGGGAAAGCAGCCTGCTGGTTATGGAAATGTAACTTAGACCAGTGATGAAGTGGCAGGGGTCACAATACGTGTTGAAAAAATACATGTACTGTAATGGAAATTATTTTTCTTCCTTTTTGAGTGATTGTCTGAGTGGATTATTCTAATCTTACAGGTTCCTATATGTTTTATTCATCAGGAGAAAAAAAGTGAAGAAAAAAAGGAAAGAGGACATCTGCCCAAACTGGTAGTAGGTCTGAAATCTTTTAACAAAATATATTGGGAGTTGAGAATGTAGACTAAGCTCCAGGAAAATCCTGCACAAATCACAGAGCCAGGAATTTTCATTAAGATCTATTTGTTGAAATGAGCAGAAACTCTCTATTCTCTGTGTCTGCCAATGCCCTGGACAAACTGGAAAATTTTCTAAATGTCTTTGTTTTTTTCACATGAAAGGATGAGTGCCCCCTCAGAACTCATGTACATGGGCTGGGATACATATTTGACGAAAAAACAGGACGATGCATATGATTAATTACATTTAAAACCAAGGCTACCTCATTAAAATAACTGAATGACATTGTCCTCATGGGAAATACTGCCCTTGAAGCAAAGGCAGCCAACCTCATCTTGGGATGTATGAGAGTGTAGCCAGAAGGTATAGGGAAGTGATCCTTCCTCTTGCCCTGGTGAGACACATCTGGAGTGTTGAGTCCAGCTCTGGCCTCCCCAGTACAAGTAAGACATGGATGTGTTGGAATGAGTCTAGTGGAGGTCACCAAACTGGTCAGGGGGCTGGAGCACATAACATATGAGAAGTAACTGAGCAAGCTGGGTTTGTTCAGCCTGGAAAAGAGAAAGCAAAGGAGAAACCTTATTGCCATCTACAGTTACCTGAGCAGAGGATATCAAGAAGACAGAGTTAGATGACTCTTGGAAGTGCACAGCAATTAGGAAGAGAGGATGCGGACACAAACTAGAACACAAAAAATTCCTGTTAGTTTTTATTTTTCAAATACCAGAACAGTTTGCTCTGAGAGATGTTCAAAACTCAGCTGGACAAATTGAAGGGCTTGGATAAGGTGACATCCAGATGTGCCTTCCAACCTAAATTATTCTATGATCCTGCAGTTCTGTGACTGCCCTAGCACATAACAGGTGGGGATAACTACTAGATACACCTGAGTGGACATAAATGAAAGCTCGTATTTCTTTAAAGAGGTTATATTGTGTATATATATAGCATAATTAGCGCTTATATATGAACATGTCATACATATTTAGGCTACATATACAGATATATATATTCTAGGATAGGTAGAATTGCAATACATTACAAAAGCAATTGCCACAGTATCACTCTGATGGAGAATTTCTTGCTCTTTGCTATGTAAAATGAATCTAATACCATCAGGTTTCTGTTGTTTCAGCTGAAGTGTTTCTGTGTCAAGTCCACAACACAGAGTATAGCATCCAAGTTATCAGACAGAGGGAAATGTATCAGGCTGTGGTGAAAGGTTGATCAGTTGATCAGCCAAAATACACCTAACCTGCGGGGTCCAGGATAGTCTTCCAGGTTCTTTTGTGTGCTCTAAATACATCCTGAGTTCATGTCAGGATGAGAGCGTGTACCGTGACTTGCCTGTATCCTTCTTTCTATTGGAAAGAAACAGGAATGTGGGCAGAGAGGGAGCCATAGTATGATTCAGAAACTGGGATTGGGAGGCATGCCATGGCACGTTATGGTACAGTGCAGGGAACATGAGTACAAGTGCCAGAAATGCCAGGTCTAAATTGGCACTAACAGACTTTTCTGACTAAAGTCATGCCTGGGCTTCCTTAAGGGAATTGTGAGAAGATGTAAAATAACCCCAGAAACTGTATTTCACTTCAAAGTTTTACTAGAGTGCTTATGTTAAGTTTCATAATAGGACAGAGTTCTAATACAGAAATCTATTCCTGATATTTTCACATTAGTATCTGCTGGTCCAGCTTCATTATTTGTCATTCTGTATATCCTGAATTAGCCTAGTGACGCCTTCACTGAATCTATACTTAATGATTCTCACCTACGTATCTCTCAAAAATGTGCCACAGCATTTATGTACATTTGTAGATGCTAAATTATTATTTGCTTTTGTGTCTTTGAAGTTAGCCAGTGGCTATAGGAGTTTTGACTGCTCCTTTGATTCTTTCATGCCTGAAAAAGTAAGAAAACCTGAGTGCTGCTTTTTATTTTAAAAACATCTCCAAGTAAAAAATTGACTTAGAAATCCATTTTCAAAAATACATGTTGTATATGGTTTGCTAGAAAAAGCAATATTTTGTTTTCTGTCCAGAAACAAAATATAAGTGTAGAGGTATATCTAATAGAGCAACACAAAGGAGGGGGAAGATAGAACTCAAGATGTCAAAGGGAAACAAATCTATCAATGCAAGCCAGAAAGATACCGTTCTTTGTGACATCAAAATGAATGGCACTCAGTTAAATCCTGCTGGCTGTGTCTAGTTATTCAGGTAAAACTCAATGCTCTGGTTTAACTCTGTATTGTTCAGAATCTGTGAGCCACCCAGACGCTGAAGATCCTTGTACTGGGAGAATTAGACCTAATGATAATATTAGTGGAGCTGGTTTTTCCTGCCTTGTTGAATGAGAAAAGGATCACCAACCTTTGATATGGACTGGGAGGAAAGTTCACACCTCTTCCCTTTTCCAGAATGGAAAAGTGCTGGGAAAGTAAGAAATTAAAATTCTGTAATTAAGCTCCTGGGAAGAATTGAGCCATCTAATTAATTAATGACAACTGTGATTGACGAACCCGGTAGTTTGTAGAATTATTTATGACTATAAATCATACAGGGTGTTCTTCTTCATATTAATATTTCATTATTGTTTTTCTTTTAAAAAGTTACGCAGACAATTCCAAGAGAGATCTACTAAAAAGGTCTCTTAAATATTAGATTGTGGTATTAGATTGAGAAATAGATGTTTGAGCAAAGAATTGAATACTATTGCTAAATAATAAGACTTTTTTCAGAAAGAGGTCCTCTGACATTTTTAATGATTATTGCTTTTTTTCATTTGATTTTTTATAAGTTAATTCCCAAACTGAAGAAATATTATATGTATCTTTTCCTTTTAATGCTTATATTAAAGAGCCTTTTGTGGCTTAACAGGCAGTTTAGTTCTCCTTTCCCTTCTTTTGCCAAAGGAAATAGTTGGAATTTTTTTCTTCTTTTGCTTCTCCTTCATACAGATGACCTGCACACTTCTCTAAGTCAAATTGTACACTAGAGAACTGAGATTCTTGCAAGAGCACATCACAGAAGTCACCAGAAAAAAATATTTATTTTCACAGACTGAGACTGCACATACAGAAGACCAGTAGACATATTACCGAACAGGATGTGTTTTCCCCTTTATAAAATATTGAGATATCTTTAAGGACTTAAATGCTGACAGTAAAGAAAAGGGCAGTATTAAGTGTTACGCAGCATAAACTGCTTCACTTCAGTTGTATCCACAAGACAGCTTAGGTCTGAGAACTACTGTCTGTACCTCAGCTCCTATGAAGCCAAAAAGATCTTTTATCGCTAGAGATTTGCACAAAATATACTCTAAAGTAATGTGCCAAATTCTGTCTGCTCTTCAGGATTCCAGAACGTGTAATATCAGCTAATGCACATCATCTTCCAAAAGTCCTCAGTTACATATTCATCTTGTGGACGTTAAGACATTCCAAAGCTTGGAGACGAAATGCTTTTGCAATCTGCTATTTCCTTCATACTGTTAGCCACTTGAAAAATAACCTGGTTAGAACTGCAGGCAACAGTAATAAACCAAACAAACTAAATTATGCTCACAGTAGAAGCTGTGGAAATCATCAGTTCAACGAATGCTAACCATAGCTACCATAGCTGGTTTTGCAGCCTGTCTGCATGCGTGTAATTACGAGAATATGTAGGTGTTTTGAACACTGAGAAGATTAAATGAGCCTGTCACGTTTTCCAGTTTTGAATCTGAGAAAGGTAGATTGGGAGTAATTAAAAGTTATTGGTTTTTTCCGTTTGTGCATCTGACCAAATTAAGGATCTGCTGCTTTCAGCATCTTTTCCATAAGTCTCTGACTCATATCCTCTTATCTGATAAGTGACACGATCCTGGTTAGTAGGTCTGTTATTACTTGGGCTCAAATCTTAAAAAGACTGCTGTGTGGCAAAACAATTATATGTGTTCTTGCCCTCATCTCTCACAGTCATAAAAGTAAGATTCAAGTATGCCAAAGACACACTCTTCATGATCAAAATAATACATCCCTGCTTTGTTATTTCTTTTAAGAAAACGAAATATTAATTTGGGTTTCTCATTTAAGGTTGACCTTATGATTTTACTTTCTAAATTTTTAAATATGTCTTAGTCTTTGCATACCATGCAGCATGCTGTGAGGTACAGCTAAAATGCTATACAGCCATCTGTCAGATCTTCTAAGGCTGGGATGTTCAGCTCACTTGTTATCCATGGGCAAGGGCAGAGGTGCAATACCAAGTGAATGCAATTCTCTGCCTCCTGGAGCATCCTGGTTCTCCAGGAGTACCACCAGCTCCATCAGCATGAAGCCCAAGGTCATAAGCCCTCCCAGGACTTACCTGGCCCCACACAGGAATTATGGTTTTGGCAACTGAGTAGAAAAGATGGGAGACTATCAGAGCCAAGAGAGGGGGACCTAGGGTTTCAGGCCATGTAGCCATCCTGCTCTCCTGGGATTAACAGGAAAAGCTTTGGCCTCTCTGCTCCTATGTTTTAATCCCTCAGATCACTGCCAGGCCCTGTGTGAGTCCACACAGCAGTTAGTACTATGATGTAAAAAAAAACAGGCTTTGTCTGGTTCTCTCGAGTATAAACAACATACAAACATTGTAGTAAAGATCCAGTGTACTCAACAGCACCTAGTGACTAACCTTGGCCATCTTAGCAGCCATCACTGTCTTGCCTTCAGTATTACTGGCGTGAGCCGGATGGGTTGTGCTAGTCTGATTACACCTGCATAAGGTGTAGTGACACTTCCATAAGCACAAGCACATCATGAACATACACACAAAGCATGGGTAGCTGCCCTTGTTCATTTTCACCAACCAGAACAACAATACACCCTTGTCTTATTTATATATGAGGGGAAAGAATGTTTAAGTATGGTTAAGTTTATGATTTGGAGAGTTTGACAGGCTATATTTTGTGATTTTGGAGAGTGGTCTTTTCTGGGGAACCCTTATTCACTGAAATGCGTGCAGTACTTTTTAGGCCAAAAGATACAGTGTGTTTTCAGCTACTGTATTATAGCTGCTCTTTTCACTGTTTCTTGATGGCAACCTGGTCTGCCAAACTCTTTGGCTGTGATAACACTAACTGAGAGATTGAATAAGACAGGTAGGTAGGAAATGAAGTTATAAATATTTGCAAGGCACATATTTGTGAGTAAGAGCAATGCTGACTGCTTTGGAAGTGGGGTAGGCAATGCACATACAATGAAGCATTCTGTTTTCTTAATGGAGCGTTGCACAGATAGAAATCAAATCACCCACCCTCACTTTACTATTTTTGCATGAATCAGTCCAGGTCACTTATATTTTCACTCCATTCTGAAAAGCAGAATGAAACAAAACAGTATGATTGCTGTTAACCAGGTCATGCCCTCATCTCTGTGTCTGCCAGCACATCAGTATCATTCTGATGCTCTGCTCAGACCCATATGAACAAAATATTTAGTAGCATCAGAATATATTTCTCAAATGTAAGTACCTGAAAGAGTACCAAAAAGCATACTAAAAGCCCAAACAGCTACAAACATATTCAGTCCATGTACAGAATCCATCATCACATAACTGCTGTGCAACATCCCCCTTTTGTGAGCACCCTCCTATCAGACCATATCATATTCCCACTATGTTTGCTTATTTATTTATTTAAGAGTTGCTCTAATATCCTGATTTGAGCTGTTGGGGTGTCTTGTACTTGTTTTCTTTCTAGCGTTGGTCTGAGCAGGGGATCTGATCCTGAGAGGGATCAAATTGTCTGTGCTTATAACTGATTAGGCCTCATTTTAGACAAATACGCCTTCAGGTATCTCTTTGAAATTGAGAAGGACTTCCTCATATTACTTACTTTCTTACTTCACGCAGTACATTTGTGCTTTTATGTATAGTTTTCTGGTGACAAGTAAGTCTTGTGCTATCTGCCACCTCTTGTGGACAAAGAAATATTTTGTTTACTGTTACTCATTCTTTGTTTCACTGCTCAGTCTTCCTGTGACCTTAGAAAAAGTTTTTCCCTCCTCATTAACTGTTCCAATAAAAATACTGTTCCCATAAAGAACAGGAACAATTAGCACTTTTACATATTAGTTTCCATAAATTGACATTTCACATGTGGAAAATGTGAAAATGTGCCGGAACTTTGTTGAAAGGAGAATAGGGACAGGATTGATTTGCAAGTAGCATTTTGCCACTAGTGGTAGTACCTGCCAAAGACAGAAGACTCTTGCGGTAGGCAAGCTTTTTGTGGTCACTATAATTTTTGTGTTGGTGAAAAAGTCTTTTTTTCCTTCCCTTCTTTCTCTTTTTCCTGGTCTTCTGCCTGATGCTTTTCCCACCCAGCCAGCCAGCCTTTTGCAGCAGCAATTAGCAGCTATCCCTGACTGCCTTTGGATTTAGTGGAATTTTTCAGACACAAATAGTGATTTCCAAAACCTCAGGTATTCTGAGCAGGAAATGATAAGGAAAGTATGTGGGAAGAGAATATTTGAGAAGGTGGATCATAAATCTGACTGGGCTCCAGATTCTCTTAAAGACAGGGAACATTCTCTTTTTTTTTTGTCTTCTGTTTCCAACAGAGAAATAAAGGAGAAATGGTAGGGACCAAGGTAAAAACTGCAAGGTTTATGTTGCCTAGTATTGGTAGGTATGCTGCTATCTGCCTCTTCTATATATCTTTTTCCTTTCAGGTCAGTCCTTGGCAAATGCCCTTTTGGGGTTGTGTCTGTACATAAACATGAGGGTTATACACACTGCTCACATTTCAGTATTTTCTTAATTTCATAACTGTGATCACATATTGTTCCAAATAGTATTGTAACATAAGCAGATGATGATAGCATGGATGTTACTTGTTAACATAGAATGATAAAATGATAGAGTGATAGAATAGTTTGGGTTGGAAGGCACCCCTAGAGGTCATCTAGTCCAACCCCCCTGCAGTCAGCAGGGACACCGCTAACTCGATCAGGTTGCTCAGAGCCCCGTCCAACCTGGCCTTGAATGTTTCCAGGGATGGGGCCTCCACTACCTCTCTGGGCAACCTGTTCCAGTATTTCACCACCCCCATCACAAAGAAATTCTTCCTTATATCTAATCTGAACATACACGTTATTTTATCAGTAATATTAAAAGAAGAGCCACATAAGGAACATCCCTAATGCTGTCTACTGAGATGAATAGGACTGTCATGTATACACGCACTGGAGCAATGCAAGCTGAGTGTGGCCTGGCTCCTGGTGCCCACCAGGAATGGAGTAAAAGCTGACAACTGTTACCACATATACAGCACACAAAAAATCAGATCACTTTTTACAGAAACAAATGTTATCCTAAGCAGTCTTTTCCTGCATTTTGACATCTTCCTTGTCCACGGATCAGTGGTAACAAGCGTCTTGCAACACACTAAATATAAACCCGGTGTTTATATTTGGTGCCATCCAGGTGATATCTTTTGCCTAGCTGATGCTGTCGTTTTTCAGAGGGTGAGGGAATTCCAAAACAACACCCAGAGTAAAGATAAATGCAGGCTCTACACTGACACTGTCCCCATGGCCAGCATACTCTGCCATCTGCTCAGAAGCCTGGATAGAACGTTTGGTCTCTATCACTTGTGTACTTTTCCACTTGGCAGAGGAGTGAGTTGAAGCACTGGCCAAGCTGGCTTTGTTTCATTTGTGGGCTTGTTTGTGCACTAACAACATTGATAATATCAACACAGCTTTAAGAACAGTGTTTGCTAACTTGTGCTGGCTCTGAAACAACAAATTATAAAATACCATCGTGTTTCCATAAGCTTGTATTTCCTCATTCAGCAATAGAGTGCCTATAGTGCTAACATTTTAAAAACAAAAGGACACTTCTCACTAAACCATAGCAGTGTTGGTTAATTATCAAAAGTAGACTGGGGACCTATTTGCATCTTTGGGTTTATGACTAGCTCATATATTGATTATTTTTGTGAGCTAGCTGTAGTTACGTCACTTTTGTTCACTCATTCCATAATGAAAAAAATACCAGCCCAAAAAGGACTGCTGGTAGGAGAAATGTATATTTATAAAGTGCAAGAGTTTGTGGGAAAATGTGCTACTGAGTTGTGAGATATTACTAACATTTATTATTTGTGAAAAGTGTCAAGATATAATGAACTTAGGCCTCTACTGATAGTCTTGTTCTTTATGTTTTCACAGAACAATAATGTTTACATACCTAATGTTGTTCCCTTGACCTTGGCTATATGTTGCATATATAATAACAGTATAGTAAACCAGTCTGCAGCCAGCAAGGTAGGGAAACATTCTTTGCATTTAAGCATACAGAGCAGCACTGAAATCAGCTTTCCTATTTTTTTTTTCCATTATCAAACTAAAGCAGGACCCTAGAAAGTATTCATAATACACTAATTTTTGTTGTTGTTGTTTTAAAGTTTTGAGTGTTCTACATTTATTCAGTCATTCTATGTGCCTTGCCTTACAGCAGTTGTACATATATGTCAGAAACCATATCGAGTGTCCTGATCAGTTTTGTGAATCAACATCATGAATTAAACCAAAGGACGATGTTACTTGTATAAAGCAAAGATCTCAAGGCTAGTCAGCCAAACACTGGGCATTCAAGAGTGCTAAAAACTCCTTTTCCTTATTCTTCCTGATTAATGTCCTAGAGTTTTGCTATGATTTGTAAATAGAAAAAAAAAAAAAAACAAAAAAAACCAAAGAGAAAAGGACATGGTTTTATGAGTTTTTTCGGGAGAACATGTTGTCAATTTAAAATAGTTTGCTGTTTAAGTGTCACCAGCCTGTTTAAACTGGAAATTTTGAGGTAGAGTCTGATTAACAGAGGCTGTGGGAAATTTTAGGTAAGCATGTGTACTCTGCCTGAATTCTTACTGGCTAATGTGTATTTGTACAAGCAGGAACACGATGAGCTAGGGGAAGATAGTCTGTAAAATAATTTGATAATTTTACTCTGATTTGTTCATCCAACAAAACTGTAGAAATTGTAACAAACCTTTCAAAAAGGTAGATTTCTAGATGGATAGTAATTCTATGGATGCATTCACCGTAACAGAGCAGTCACTGCTCTGTGTATGTTAATCTCCTCATGCATCTGAGAAAATACGGTTTTAGGAAGTGGCCTTTGTCACACTCAATACAAGCAAGTGTAAATGCTTCATTTCTGTGGTAGAATGAGTATTCAGAATTTCTTCTTTTGCACTAATGTAGTTTATAACCCTTCAATATTCACTATGGAGTCTTTGAGCACCATTGCCAATCAGTATTTTAACAAATCAAAAAGAAGTGACAGCCTGTACTTCTGT